CCCCCCCCTCTCCTCCTCCGTCTCTCCGCTCGTCCTCCCCCTGTCACACCCCCTCATTCTCCCACCCTCAGATCCCACCCCCCTCCTCGAATGATGGATGACCTCTGCTAGGGACGAGTCCGCGGGTGCCGGATCTTGCTATTTTTATGATTAGCGGAGATGTGGTGCGGGTTTGTGGCACTCTGTTGTAGGGCTGGGCAATGAGTCGCTTTAGCGAAATCCGGATATGTTAGTGCATCTTCGGCAAATATTATGATATGAACCGCTTTGACAAATGGGTTAGAACCACTTCGACAAACGGGTTAGCACTACTGAAACGAATGTGTGCACCCACTTCGGCAAACGGGTCAGGAAAGAAAGTTATGAGTCTGAATTCGGATGTTTCATTGAGAATTATCCGGTTATCCTTATAGATTATCCGGATTTTGCCCACCTCTACTCTGTTGTACTGTCTATCGTGTCCACGAGGAGGCGAGTGGCGGAGAAGATATTCAAAGACGTCTCCGGCGAGCACCCAGGAAATATTCGGAGACGTACTCCCGCGCAAAGATGCACTGCTTTGGGTGTAAAACTGCGTATTGTTAGCCACAGATCACACATATAGCCACTAATACTGTTGCAAATCAATTATTTTGAAGAAAAGTTCAAACCTAACTGCAAAATATCAAATTATGGGTTATAACAGGACTATGCCCCCCCCAGTTTTTTTGTTTACTTGGTCCAGAGGAACAAAGCATTTTGATTGGTCTATCTCGGTTGGAGACGTCTCTGGATAGATACTGTGCCAGAAAGGCAGCTGGGTGTTGGGTGGGTGGCTCTAATGGGTGGGCACACCAACAACAAAGAGAAAAGAGATAAGAATAATAATACAGACAGCAATGACAAAAATTAACAACAGAATTGCACCAAGAGCGTGTAACAACAAAACTAGCAAACAGAAAACAACACACACAACAACAACTACAACAACAACAACAACAACAACAATAACTACAACAACACTGTCATCGACGAAGACGATAAGAACAGTTCGAGTTTTTAGTAAAGAGAAGCAAATCGACAGAATAAATGTGAGATGTGAGTTAGAGATGAACAATACAACGCAGACAGACACACAGACAGACACACAGACAGACAGACAGACATACAGACATACAGACAGACAGGCAGACAGATAAGTAGTTAGTATGATAACCAAATCAACATATTAAAAAAACCAAGACAATTAATAAATAGATAGGTATATTATTATTTATTATTATTATTATTATTATTATTATTTATTATTACAATGTACTACTACTATTATTATTATTATTATTATTATTATTATTATTATTATTATTATTATTATTATTGTACGAACAAACGGACAGAGAAACATATTACAGACAGACGGTCTCCAAGATATCTATAGGCAGTTTAGTGTAAATAAGTTTTACGGCACTTGTAACACAAGTGGGTCATAATATAGGTGCCGAAGATTAGAGATGTGACATACATAGAAGAGAAATAGAAAGTTCATGCCCGTGTTTGAGAAAAGGTCTCTTGTTTGTTTTGGCGAAAGAAGGAAGTACATGTGTCCGATTAATTTGTTTTAATTAATCAATTTATTCATTTATATTTCCATTTATTTATCTATTTAGTTACCTTATTTTTTTTATTTACCTTTCTATTCCTTTATTTTATTTTTCTGTTTTATTTATT